ACAGTGATAGCTTACATCAAACTATTATTTAGAAATTTTCAACTTTTCTGAGCGAGTAGAAAGTTTCGTCATTTGATTACCAAATAAAAATACAGTTATAACATGAACATAAATATTTTGGTGTGCATATGAACATTTAATAATTCTTTTGATCACTTTTAAAAACATTGAAAGCTGAAAAGAAGCAGTAAAAATTACTTATTTTTTTTAAACATTGCTGAAGATTTTTTTATAATTAAGTTGAAGTATTTGGTTCACTACTATCAGTGACCCTTTCGTACTTCATATATTCTTTAGGCACATGGCTTCTTCAATTTTACACTTTATATTCAACAGTTACATTTATTCAATACATTTCATGAAAATATTTCTTTTCTTTTTTTCAATTTTTAGTGAAAAATGAAATTAAACTGAGCGAAGAAGATGTAAATATTGTTAATGAGAAAGGGAACAAAGTTTATTTCATCAAAGCGCCGGGTAATTACTCGCTTCACTTCAAGAATATCAAAGTTCTTAATGACTTTGGTTATCTATCCGGCGAAATTGGAGTTACTTTACAAGTACCACTTTTGGAAGGGCCTGCAGGTAAAAATTTTTCTCTTACTTTTAAATTTTATTCTTTTTGTTCTTTTTTTTTTTCTTGTCTATTTGTGACTGAAATGATTCAACATTTCACCAACTGTTCATGTTACTATAAACTTGACTAAGCTTCTTTTAATGTTTCTGCAATGACCGATCAGCGGTGTTGAAAAACCTTTATTTTCTTTCTAGAATCTGCAATGTCTCTATAGCACTTTTTTTTTTTGCAACGAACCGTGTCAACGCTGACAGTTGGTTGTAAAAAACTTTGAATTATTGCAAACTGACACATTTACTATATCATAGACCAGCTGGTAAACCACATTTCTCACTTCGTTGATGAGTTTGTAATTTTATCACTGCATAAATTGCTGTATCGAGTGTCAAAATTGTGACGGCAAGGTGCAATAAATTTTAAAGATACTCGTTTTATCAGCTGTGGTTTTGAAGTGAAAAATATAGTAAAAATTTTTAAGTTTTTAAGTCGTAATTGCAGTTTTTGAAAAAGATTATAGCTAAGTAAAATTTTTTGAAAGTTTCGCCTACCAGTTTTTTCACTTGGTAACAGATCAGTTTTGAATCTTGAAAACAGAAATTTGTCACGGTTAAACAAATAGATTTTGAGAATGAAGAGGAATTTGGTGGAAACAAATTTGAATTATACAAAATTTTGGTCTGATTATATTGAATGGAAGAAAGAACAAAGATTTTTAGAAATTTTAATTGTAATATACTGATTAAAGGGTGATAAATGAAATAACTATTAAGAGGAACAAATTGGCTTCTTTTTTTGTACCTTTTATGAGTGGTTTGGGAAGCCGAAACTTACTACTCCTGAACTTTGAGACTAAAGCCTTTAATAACAAAAGATAGCTTTTCTCTATCCTTTTTAGAACTAATTTCAACTAAAGAAATGGTGGATGTTGGAATTAAAGTTTTTGCAATGGTTGTAAAGAAGCCAAATTTTTATCTTTTTTTTTTTTTTTCACTTATTTTGTCTGATGTGAATTTCCTTCTTTGTTCCTGAATAAGAAAATATTGGAGAGTTTTGCCCGGGACGATGAGAAGTCGAATACAGCATAATTGGTGGAAAAAACAAAACGGAAGTTTAAAATTAAACAACTTTTTTTTTTTTTTACGTAAAAATACGGGTGATATGCCATGGTGCAATTTTTTTTTTTTTTTTTTTTTTGGGGGGGAAGGGGAGGAATTTTTTTTGGCATCTATAGGAAAACCAAAATTTCCCCCAATTTTATTCAAAATGCGCCAAATTTTTTAACGGAAAAATCAGTTAGAATTGTTTTTTCTTTTCAAATATACAATGAACAGAAAAAGATTTTTAAAGTGAAAAGAACTTGTTTGGTCATTTTGTAACGACTTGTTAAAAGGGAAAAACAGTTTTTTTTTTTTCTAAAAAGCATTTTGTATACTTATATATTCAAAAAAAGAAATTATTCACTGTTCAATTCCTTCTGACAGTATACTTTGTTTATTTAAGCAATTTTTTACATACCTTGTAAAAGTGGTTAGCAAAAAATGTTTCTTCTACTGAATATTGAAAGTCTACAGGTATAAGATTTGATTTGCCATACACAATGATTCCTGAAACTGGGTTGCTGAATCAGCAATGCGATGAGCACAGTGGTATTGTTGAACGAGATGGACGACAATATTGGTCAGTTAGTCGTTACATATGAACATTTCTGATATTTGTATTTTTCTCCGTTAGTAGCTTTGTATTGTCTGATAACGTTGATAACTGGTTGAAAAAGGAGAAAAAAAAAATTGAGCATTGTAAGTGTTTAGTCGTTATTGCGACATCTGTGGTCTTTCCGAGAAGATTGAAGATGGGTTGAACAGTGAAGGACATGTTTTTTTACCTGAACTTGCCAGTGGTCATGAAGAGAAATTTTCGCCAAAATGTAATCATATTAATGCTGATAGTTATGAATTTAAACGAACATTAAATTTACCTGGCCGGAGGAAATTGGAGGAAAAAGTTCGGGAGAAAATGCAAGGTCTTGATGGTGAAATCAAAAAACGTCTAAACAAAGGAGTTAGTTTTTTTTGCGTTTCATTTTTATCCTGCATATAACCAACCATTTATTCAATCTTCTTAATTCCTGTAACTGTCAAATGTAAATTTGGCAACAAATTTTTTTTTAGCGAGGACGTTTTCAAGTGTTCTTAAATTTGATCAGTTCTGCGCAGCCACCAATTAGGCAAAAAGCTTGGTTTGATAGTTCTTCGCAGGTACTGTATTTTTATTTCAAATTTTTTTTTTTGTCAATTAGACTGTCTGGATAGAATTTACCCGAAATAAAATGCATAGCAAAATTATTGGATATTTAGTGTCGTTGCTGTGACAGAAATCGAGATGCTTCATGCAGAAATATGCTCAGTTTCTTGTACTGTAATGCTGAAGACTGTAAAAGCGCTTGGGCTCAACAGTGCCTGCATAATTCTGCCCGTATTGCTGCCTGTTATACCGTTGAATTTAATTATCGCATGACAACTGCTTATGCAGATGTGGTACATTTTTTGCGTGAAAATAATTATCCAAATCAAGAAATTGCAACTCGTCGACCAATTGTTACGTAAGTTTTAAAAAAAATCTAAAATTTTTGATAACTATTAGTGATATTTATTTGTTGTTAGCGTATATATTCTAATTCAAAATCACTTTTTTTTTTTTTTTAAAGAAATCAATTGGTTTTTTTTTTTTCAATAAAGCTAAGAGTTTTGCATTCTAAAAAAAGGGGTAACTCAGTTTGTGAAAAAAAAAAAATTATTAAATGTTGTATTTGAAATTGGGCTATCTCATATGAAGTGTTGCGGAGTTGTAGGGCCAATAGATGAAACTTGCTGTGGTGTTTTTTTATTCATTGATTTAATCAACTTTTAGTACTGAACCCTATGATCAGTTGAGTGAAAATGAGCCAGCAGATAAAACATCATTATCTGAAGCCTGTACAGCTAAAATGCCAAAACGATTAACGCATCTACGACGATATTGTACAATATTCTGGAATCAAAAACTTTGTTGTTCATATTGTGAAGGTGTATGCTAATATTATTATTGGTTGGGCTGTCAGAAAACTAAACCTAACAAAAGAAACCAATTACTGTAATGGCAGGGACAGAAATCAAAAAGTGGTATTTTTTTTTTTTAATGCTCTCTGTTCGAAACGATCGTTATCGGTAAGGAACGGCGGCCACAACACCAACAACAGCAGCAGCAGCAGCAGCAGCAGTAGCAGTACCACACTAAAATATCTCAGTGTTTTATTGGAAAAAAAAAAGAATAATTTTTTCTATTTGTAAACATAATGATTGTTCATTTATTTTTATCAAATAAATTCACTTATAAATTCTATGTTTTTGCTGACTGAAGAAGAAAATTTCTTCTTCTTCTAGTAATTTTGTCTTTTTTAAATAAGAAGCAAATTTCACGTTTTTTTTTTTTGACATCTTAAAAGCATTCAAATAAGTGGACAAACTATAGTTAGGCGTAAAACAAAAGAACAAAGCAAAAGACGGAAGAAAGAAAAAAAAAAAAAAGCAGGACAGTCATAAAAAAAAAAGAATTCTTTCACCTATATAAATCTACTCTCCTCTCAAGTCTTCGAAAAAAAAAAAAAAGAAAATAAGAATTGTTTTTGACAAATAAAAACAGCAGAAAATTAAACAAAAAACAAACATTTTTCTTGAAAATTTTTTGTTTTTTTGGGATATATGAAAAGTACGCTAACCGCTATTAACTTAAAACTTATCACTGAGCAGAACCGCTTGCCACTGAGAAGAGCGACAGATGTGATAGCCGAAGTGCTAAGAACTGCTAACTAAGTATAGTCAGTGATATAATAGGCAAAAATGATTAGTTAATTTTCGATAAGAATAGTAACTATGAAATTGTTTTTTGAGCATTTTAACAACTAATAAAAAAAAAAAA